AAATTTAGATTGTATGCAACATATCGGGACAACAAATATGTCTTCATGCTACTGGAAGCATGCCTTGGGGGCGAAATTTGGACGGTTCTTCGAAATCGGTTTGTGCTTTTCTATTTGAAAATTATTCTTTTTTTTCCTTGACGGAAGCCAATGAATGCGAAAAAATTGTGATTATCAGGGGAGCATAATTCATCCACCCACTTTTCCACCTTTGCATGTTTTGCACTGAGTTTAGTCTTGTAATAGCGATCATTTATTTATTTATTTATTTCAAATGGCAGGCGTTTTGATAATTATCATTAGGCCATTAGCTGACTTTGGGCTTTACAGAGGGGAGAAACATCAAAGTGAGAAAATTCGAGAGGGATAAAAGAAGAGTGATCCACAGATGTGAAAGAGACAGACAGACATAGAGGCAGAGAAAAGGTGAGGTGAGTACTATGGAAGTAGTCGAATATGACACACAGTGGAGTGATGGTAGTCTGAAGCCAGAAGTCAACTGCCGATTAATAGAATTTTCTGCCGTATGAGTATACGTTGCCCGGGGTGCACCACGTGGAGGTAAGTCTATCGCACACCCCCGTAATAGCGATCATGGGACCTTTCTAAATGTGTCAAATTTAAATTATCAGTGAAATATGTTGTTTTTTTAATAGAACACGCCTTAATTTTTGCATTGAGTGCACAATTTAAACTCTCCTTGTACTCCTGTAGCCAGTTCGTACATTTTTCATATTCAAAATAAAATAATACCTGCAGCGATTAGACATATCAAATAATTACCCTTTTAACGTTATTTATTTATTTTTATATCCTTTAACTCTGAATTATTTTTATGAATAATGCACCCAACCGCACTCACATGTGTCTCATAGCAGACTGATGCCACCGACGTGATGAGTTTCGGTGGTGTATTAGATGACGGCCATAAACGCATTGAATCTGTTTCAAACGGCAATAGCGCCTTCTGTTATGAGTCTATTGCCAATTCGGGGTATTTTTAAGGGTGTTAAGGGTTAATAGAGGGTGTGTGAACATTATCAGTCAAAGCATATGATAAACTGTTTCGTGGAGCATAAATTGATCCCGCATATTCGCTATGAGTAAAGCCCAAAATGTGCTTTAAGATTATCGAACTTCACTTAAAGAGTTTCCATCTTTAAAACCTTTTTTCTCAATTCTTAACATTCACCAAAATAGTAAATGTGGGGGTATTATATCTATAATGTGGGGAAAAGAATACCCCTACTCTACTGCTTTGCCGTATTGTACATACCCCCCCCCCCGCCAAGCTATTCAATTAATCGCTTGGAATTAGCATAAAGGTTATAGACGGCTTCTACCATAGATTCCCCTCCTCGTCGGCACCGAATGGACTACGTTAGTTTGCAAGCGCATGCCAATTTTGCATGCGCATGTGTGTGCGCGTAATTCCACTCGCTTCATGTGTCTTTTTCGTGATCACTGCTACACCTCGTGTGTGTGTCTCTGCCCTGATGGACTTTATCAACACACCCTGAATTGGATTTGCACACACTACAATGATATTGAAATGCCGATCGTAGACTTTTAAAGGGCGTGGGCCAAAAGAAATGGAAAGATTTCATTTGAGCCATTAGTGTTGCACGTGTTAGTACAGGAGCCTTTTAAATGCTTCAGCTTTTGGGAAATCATCCGAATAAAGGCGAATGAGGCGGAAAATGGATCAGAAGGAGACTGGCTACTAAATCATTAAATCAAGAATGTCGCTTTGTACATTTATGTCCATTTTCACACCGATTACTGTCAAAGTCACAATTGGACTCTCCGATTATCTCCGCGGTAGGCAGAGATTGTTGCCCGATTAATTGATTTTGTGGGGTTAAGGCACCTCATTTTGCAGCCGAACAACTGCATTGTGACATAACATAGCGCACTAGGATTTACGTACCCTGACCACTATTCATTTTTTTTTCTAAGACTGATTAATTATTACTTGTTTTAATACCACGGCTTTCAGCGCATCATTTGGGCCAACTTGAAGATTGCATCTATCGTTGAGCCTTTTGCTTAGCAATGGGTTTGCCTCGATTCCCATCAAACTCTTTTCTATCCAATCTCTGCTTGAGAAAGCACTTTTAAGTCAGTGTCATGAAAAAAGATTAATTTACAGGCGATTTACAGGGAAGTATACTGTTGTTTCCTCTCATAAAATGCGCAAAAAGGCCACATCATCTCTATTTTCGAAGCTTAAATTTCCAATTGCGAACGATAAAACGTTTGATCAAATGTGATCGCATATTTCCCATCTTCAATTTATTATTATTATTTTTGTTTTCTAGTGGGAATTTTGATGACAACATTACACGATTCATTGTGGCGAGTGTTCTCGAAGCTTTCACTTATCTTCACACCAATCACATCATTTACCGCGATCTGAAACCAGAGAATTTGCTGCTTGATCATCGGGGCTATATCAAACTGGTAAGACAATTAAAATATGTGCATTATTAGTGCAATAATATAAACAATAATTAATTTTCCAATGATCCGAATTTATCTAGTTTTATTTTTTTTGTCTCTTTTCAAGATATTGCCCTTTTTAGTCGCTTTAATGTAATTAATTTTATTAATTAATCGCTAATGGTTCTTTATTAAGTTTAAGCCTTTTTATAAATGTATATTAAATAGAATGAGCTAATAGTGTTTCATAATTATGTTAAATTGTTCTGAGTCCTTTTTTTGTAAAACCCCACCGATTCTAGCCTTTAGCTCTGATATTATATTACTAAAGATTATTAGTAATATCTCATTCCCTTAAAACCCGCTATCAAGGTGCAACGTTAAGTCACGTTTAGTGAGATATGCTCCCATTTCAATTTCTAACCACACTAAATTTTAGTCCCCAATTTAACTATAAACCTCATGTTCGGTGACATTTTATGAATGGGTTCTGAACAAAACATGTATGGCATGTAATTAATGCCATTTAAAATTTAACTTAAATCACTCATAACCATGATTTACTTTTTTACAATTAAAATTAAACACATGCTTGAGAAATGTAATTTATAATAAAAGGGGTGGGGTTTAAGATATTATTTCATCTTGATAATGATTTCCTTGGCGCAAAATTCATCCCACGTAATAATTAACTTCACATCAGCTACAACTGAATTCACTTGATGATAGTCGTTAAAACAATAAATTGGTACTTTTTTTCAGATCAGAGATCACAAGTTTGATGGCTAATAGTGAACATTCTGTGAAAAGAATTAGCAAATGAAATAGGCAATACCGGGCACTTTAAAGCAGTGGTAGAATTCATGTCTGTCATCAGGCAGCCTCCACTATGAAATTCTTCCATCTAGGATGAGTTTGGGGATTGAAATCATGGTCTTTTCTTGGTGATTTAGCGGCCGCTAGTTAGAAATTTCATGTCAGGAGTCATCTAGTGCTTGTAGTGACTAGTCGGCCATAATGTGCTACTACATGGAATACAGAATTAGAATTTATAATTATTGGTCCAGAATTGCTCCCATGGTGAGACTGTATATTCAGGCAATGGAAGCGAAAGTCAATAATCGATTGTCCAGTAGAGAAAGGGCAAATTTTGAGAACTTTGCTTTGTTGCACTGTAAATAATCGATTGCGTTTTCTCTCAAGGACGTATTCTTTATCTATCAAATTTTGTCTATTGCTTTTTGTGCTCTTTTCTAGTGCGATTTCGGATTTGCCAAGAAGATCAGTCCGGGAAAGAAGACGTGGACATTCTGTGGAACCCCCGAGTATGTTGCACCGGAGATCATTCTCAATAAAGGTCATGACCACTCTGCAGATTATTGGTCCCTCGGTATCCTCATGTTCGAACTACTCACTGGAAGGTAAATTTCTGTGCATCAAATTGATTATTTAATATATGTTACTATTAAGTACATTTTAATGCATTATTTAAGTATTTCTAAGTTACTTGAATGATCCTTTTTTGCTTTATACTCATTGGCTGCATGTCAAATTATTAAATTGTTATGTTTCTTCGTATTTATCTGGAAAGGAGATAGACACGAGCGTGTTTTATAGAATCTGTATGACTGACAAATTTGTTGATACAATAATGGAGATCAAAGTTCGGCACATGGCGGTTATTTTGAAAATTTAGGGTGGAGGTCCTCCATTTTGTTTTCTTTTTGCGGTACTTAAAAATGTTTTCCATTTCTCAATAAACACACCGTATCAGTAATTAAATCTTATTTAATGTGATTAATGCTGTTTGTATTCAGAAAATTGATAGTCATCTGTGTTGAACAAAGCCCCGCCTACTGTATACAATGTACTCTGCCAACTAATGGAGCTCATTCTCTCGTGCCAATCTTACCTGATCGTCTGGTAGAATTCTTTGGCTTGTAAATTCCTCTCAGACAGAGTTCTATTTGCGTATCTACCTAGTATCTCGTCTCTTTTTCCGTCTTCTTCATTGAGATGTATCGCGATTGGTTGTTAATCAGTCCTGGGGTGGAACTTTGGTCATCTCAAGGCTTCCGGTTAGCGGGTTTACTGCAGATCACATTAAAATGCATCTTCTAGAGCACTCAGAAAAATTTTATTAATAATTACACACGAAAAATAAAATTCACGTTAATTTAAATTGAGTTAATGTGAATGGAAAATTATATGGTTCCCTGATAGGGAGATGTCAACAAAATATCGATTTTTTAAGATCCGTGTTTAGTCCGGTTACGTTTCACGTGGTTTGAATAGTTCAACCCATTAAATACATTTTATACCTGCTGCGTATGCTGACGCCACAGTGATTGTCATGAGGTCATAGGTCATAAGTTCAAATGGTCATTGTGTATCCCATTAATTAATTTGCTCGAAGATGCCTCTCCTAGCCCAAGGTGAACGTTTGAAATCGCCTTCACAAATTGGCTTGGGAAGTGCTTATGTTTCATCTACTCCAAGATTGGATTATTACTTTGAATGAAACTGAAAAAAGTGGCAATGAGCCAGCTCTAGTTGCTAATCATAATTTATTGAGAATCCGGCCGGGGGGAGGAGGGAGGGGGGAAGTAAATAGGATAGAAGATGCCAACTTCGTGACTTGGCTCAACGGAGTGGCTTTCAATGAGAGGGGGGGGGTGACTCACTAGTTGCCCAGTTGTTATTTCACACGGCTTCTGAGAAGACGAGCATTTTGTTGAAGATTTTATGCAAGCACTGTTATTCACTCATCTACCAGATAACATAGCTGAATCCCCATTAATAAGTAGGGACTTTGAGCGTGCATTGGAAGTATGCACAGTAGTAGACGTAGTTGAAGCCATGGAACGCTTATAAGCTCTGTTAGCTCCAAAAAAATGTCTTGTAGGATAAATCAAGCTAATTTAAAAGCAATCGCTGGTGAAAACAAGACTATTTTTCCTCTCCGACACTAACTTTCTTATGCTTATTCTGAATTCAAGGCCGTTCTACAAAATACTAACAGGTGTCACCTGGAATCACATATTTTGGTATTATCCTCGGAATCAAACATATTGCAAGTTCAACTCAACTTGATGACTGATGATATGTACGAAAGATAGTCATCAGGTACCACTTTGCTCAAGTAGGGAAGACGCCTGCACTGAATTCGAATGAGAAACAAGGAGTATGTTAACGCCCTAAAACGCAAAGTGTGGAATATGTAATAATATCCACTCTGATTATTGGTCATCTAATGTTACAAATGGTCGCGGGTCGTTTTGGGTATACCGCGTTCAACTGAAATCGGAGTTATTTTTCTACACTTTGTATAAATGTCGCCATACATTATTTTCAGTCTCTCTGAATGCGTAATTTCAGGCGTACATCACAAAAAGAATGTAGTAGACTCTCAATTTGGCACAGCCCAGCGTGGCTTGTTAGCGGACTATGTGAGGAAAAGAAGGTTGGCTGGGCGGAGTAGAGGGGTTCAGGCCATTATGCTCACTACAGCCCACACTTGTCCAACTACATTCCGTTGTTGTCGCTAATGCGATTTTACTGCGCACTTCCTCTCGTGTCCGTTTTAAGCGTGGAATTGGTGTAAAATTTATACTGATAGGGTAACGCGCATATCCTTTAAATGCTAGGCGCCCGGGTAGGTGCTAATAACCATTTGGCAAAATGAGTAGGGATTAATTTATCTCAAATGGCAGGCATTTCGGTAGTTTCATTAGCCCTTTAGGTGACTTCAGGCCTCACAGAGGAGAAGAAATATCAAAGTGAAAAAAAAATCAGAGAGGGGGGGGGACAGAAAAGTATTTCAAAGGTGTAAAGGAGACAGACACAAAGGTAGAAAAAAGGTGAGGTGAGTACTGTGGAAGTAGTCGAATATGACATACGGTGGGGGTGATGGTAGTTTGAAGTAAGAAATCAACTGTGGGTTAATAGACTTTTTGGCCGTATGAGTATACGTTGCCCGGGGTGCACCACGTGGAGGTAAGTCTATCGCACACACCAAATGAGTTGAGATAGATGAGGGGTGACGAGTCAGTTATCCAAAAAGTCTTAATTCGTCGATTTCTAAATTCATCCGCATGTTAACTTACTTGGTAGAAGATATAACGTTTTATTTTAATTCAGCAAAGTTCAAAGTTCATAAAATGGTCCATGAATACCTGTCTGCGATGATCAGACCAATTGGTTAAACTATGCCTTGGTCGTTCCACGGGCGTGAATTTATTTCTTTTAATAACCTTTTGACGTAAAGTTACTACTACTTGAGGCTTCTTCCAGATTTCGCTTTAATATTCATTTGAGAACTCATTATTTCTAATTTTCATGAAGGTTTCAAGTGACGTTAATACAATAAATGTTCCCATTTCGCTTAATTGCATAATCACTTTTAAATCGGAGTATTAAATTTGACCCATTTTCTTCTGCTTAAAGCCGATCAGTGACATTTCCGACATTTTGTTGAACTGGAAGCAATGATGAGTCGTAAAGATGCATCAAATTGTGGAATATAAGTATCATTGTCTTGCGCATTCATAAAAGTATCCGCTTTTGTTGTTTATTAACTTTATGTACCAATATTGAAAATTCACAAAAAAATCCGTGCTTAATTTGACCCTTCATTAAGAATTTATCATAAAGCACTAAAAGATTCCTCACCATTTCATTCAATTTCATCCAATTAATGGTCCCATTTTCCTGTAATTTAAAAGGAACTAAGTGAAATTGATCAATTGCTTTCACTCGGTGGTTAGTTTACACGTCAAAACGAATAAATTCCATTTTCACGCAGATCTCTAATTTGACTAGGCAATATTTCTCTTTGACATTACTAGTCCACCATTCACGGGAATGGATCCAATGAAGATCTACAATATAATCCTCCGTGGCATCGACGCGATCATGTTCCCGCCTTTCCAAATAAATCGAACGGCCACAGCACTCATTCATCGGCTCTGTGTCCAAAATCCTGTCGAACGTCTTGGTTACGGGCGCGGAGGCATTGTGGACATCAAGCAACACAAGTGAGTTCGCCAACTGCTAATTATTTTTTTTCAAATAGCAGGCTATATGATATTTACCGTTTGTCCTTAAACTTTGACTTCAGCTTTCCACAAGGGAGGGGGGTACATTTATAGCAGTTAATTAATAGCAGTTCATTAGGTGTCTTCTTGCTTCCCAGTATCTCTGGGTTTCCGTTGCTGCCTTTAGGGCTGGACACCGAATCAGGTGGGTCTTCTCCGTTTCCCCCTGTAGGTTACATAGGGGGCACATGGGTTGAGTGTATATTCCCAATCTGTGAAGATGTTATGCCAAGAAATCGTGTCCGGTACGTAGTCTAAACTCAAGAACGGCTTCGATTCTTGGCCATTCGGCTATATCGGAGAGTGCCACTGTCCACTGTTTCTCCTTTGTTCGAGCTTTAAGTTCGTTGCACCTTGAGGTCTTGAATTCTCTCCTGATCAAGGCCTTCATTGTGTGGGAAGACATCGGCCTGTCCATGCATTGCAAAATCGTTGTCCCCTTCTTAGCAAGTGTGCCAGCAAGCTCATTGCCTTTAATGCCACAGTGACCATGAATCCATTGTAGGACCACTGTTTTGTTTTTCTCTCTCAGCAGCTCATAGAGTTTTCTATATTCGTTTATCTCAGCTATTTTGGGTGGCTCTCTGTTTTCAATTGAGTTTATTGCTGATTGTGAGTCCGAAAGTATCACCGCTTTGGTGAATTTCGGGATCTATTGTGTCCCGCTGCTAATTATAATGCAAATCTACATGTTTTAAACATGGTATTATTTATCATTTTCAAAAAAGTGGATGCATAACACAGCAGAAAGAAAATGGTTTGGGGTAGTAGTTGCTATATTTGGTCCCTTGGTTTCAAAATAACTGATTTCAGTCCCTAAAGATGGGAATATTTGTGTTGTGCCTATCAAACGCTGCATGTGAAAAGGCTCGCACTTAACACAATCTTACGTTGTTGACAGCATTCCCACGTGAGACGTTTCAAACAAGTAATTAGAAATTGGTTTGAGGAAGTTCATGTTTGTCGTTATGCCCGAGAAACGAGGAGATTCAAACGATATCGCAAGAGCATTGCTCTTTTTCTTCGTCAACATTCGCGTGCAGATCATCGTTCTCGTTCTAATTTCCAAACAGTAGAATTCATGCAGTTAGAGGCAGTAACTGCTGTTTTAGTGGAGATATGTCAGCCGAATCAGACTTTCTGTCGTCTTGAATTAGTGTTACCCCGCAATGATGATTTAGTTGGAACCCGTTTGGAAGTGCGTTTCATTCCTGAACTGTTAATCACATTTCAATTCAAATTTTTCTTCTCTGATTCTTTGGCTAATCGCTAACATACCAGACTCAATATCAAATTTAAAAATTACTTCATATAGAGTCATCAAATGTCTCCTAACCAGAGCGGCCTTGAATGATTAAATCTCAAAGGTCTGAGTAGGTGTAGTGTCACCCCTTATCGGTTTTCAACAAAATTTTAACGTCTATAGTGCAATGAATCGATTTTATGACCTCTCGTAGGAATTTATTTCCAATTGAGTAAATTGAAAGCTGATAATCGATATTATACACCTGCGCTTGGGACACGTGATTCACAGATATGAAGGAGACAGACACAAAGGTAGAGAAAAAGGTAAGGTGAAGTTATCACTGTGGAAGTGGTGAATATGACGTACGGTCGGGTCATGGTAGTTCGAAGTCAGAAGTCTATTGCCGGTTTACTGACTTTTGCCGTATGAGTATACGTTGACCAGGGTGCACCACGTGGAGGTAAGTCTATCGACCACCCCCTAAATGAAAATAATTTCTCATAAAGGCCGTTTGGATTAACATGTTCGAAAATTATTTGCCAAGCAAGCCTTCACACTATGCCAATAAATGCGATTTCTTAGCCATTGAATATGCGATCAACAAAGATTGCTGGCAACTGACAGACATTGCATTAGTTTCATTTAGGAATGCACACCGAAGATCCATTAAAAGCATCTCCTGTGACCACAACAAATAATCTGCGTATGGACTTGAGGTTCTATTTCTGGAAAGTAATTAACATATGGAAGTTGTGGTCTGTCCATATCTTTTCTGTCAATTTTTACAGACACTGAGATTTATTTTCCTTACGACTTTGTCTAAGGCGGGTTGAATTGCTCTTCTATTTTATATTCTGCACATTTTGTTTTGGTAGATATCATCTCATTTCCATATCTCCAATATATTAAACTTTAGCGGTAGCTTATTTTCTCTTGTAATGGCCAAATTTCTCCCAATTTATATTAGCTATCACTAAATTCCGAGTGAACTTGCATCCTTACCTCACATCGACTATTGCCGCGACCTTTTTTGTCAAGTCAATAGATTGGCTCACTCCTCCTCCCACCCTCCCTCCCTCCTTCCCTCTCTACTCTTCCAAGTCTCCCTTAAATGGTCTATTGTTTATTAGAAGGCGTTTGCCTATTTCTTCAATCCCGTTTACTTGCTTTTGCGACTTAGCTACTCCCAGATATGGAGTTTGCGAAAGCTTTTTTAAGGAGAAAATTTGTCCAATTCAATGGTGAGATCAGAGGGGGGGGGTTGCATTTACGCTGCTTCCATAATGCTACTTATTTGAGCAAAGTCCAAGGTCAGTGTTGAATACGGTGTTGGTATTGGTAGTATTGGACACATTTTTTACTCGCGTTAAATAGGTGTACTGCTACCCCCCGCGCGGTCCAAATTTTGTCATTTCATGAAATATCGAGCGGACACGATCTGAGCTACCACAGGGTAATTTGCCTGCTCTAATGGGATCACAATTGTAGATTGACGTGTTCTGCAACTAATTAGTTGTCCCATCTGTAACCTTGAATGGATAGTTGGTTTAACAAGTGCATGTGAAATAGCATAGGACTAAATAAAATCCCCTTCACAATTTCGCAGCAAGTTAAGATTTCATTTTTAGAATATGGTATATGAAGCTTGTTTTGAATCGGAGAATATATATATATATATATATATATATATATATATTTGTTTATTTATTTCAAACGTCAGGCTGTATGATATTTATCATTAGCCCTTAATCTTTGACTTCAGCTTCCCCCAAGAGGGGGGGGGGGTACATTTATAGCAGCTAATTAATAGCAATTCATTAGCTGTCTTCTTGCTTCCCAGTGTCTCTGGCTTTCCGTCGTTGTCTTTAGAGCTGGACACCCAATCAGGTGGGTCTTCTCCACTTCCTCCTGTAGGTTGCATAGGAGGCATGTAGATTAAGTGTATACTCCCAATCTGTGAAGGTGTTTTGCCAGGCAACGTATACTCCCAATCTGTGAAGGTGTTTTGCCAAGCAATCGTTAGGTTACATAGAGGGCATGTGGGTTGAGTGTATACTCCCCTCTGTGAAGGTGTTTTGCCAAGCAATCGTGTCCGGTACGTTTGTGAAGGTGTTTTGCCAGGCAATCATGTCCGGTACGTAGTCTAAACTCCACAACGGCTTCGATTCTTGGCCAGTCGGGTATGTCAGAGATCGGAGAAAATATTGTTAGACCGGCACGCCTGCAGGGAACGCGCACTGAGATTTCAATTACTAAATTTCCACACTCATTCCGGGTTAGAGAAGATCACCAAGACGGCCAATCTATTGTTTTGCTTCCAAGTCTGCAGAAGGAGTAATTTTCCCATTGAATGGCTGTCACTTGAGCCCAACAGAATTCTGAACAAAATTTAACTTTGGTTAATGACGACGGGGTGGCTATATAAAGAAAGTCTTTGATGTACCCACGGAAAGATCAGAATCGACCTGGCTCCCATTACATTTCAATCTTTTTTATTCTTTTTTAATCAAATAAATTGTGTTAGATTATTGGATTTCAATTTTATAGCCTAAATTTTCGCTTAAAAAAACACTTTGCAAGGAAATAATCAGTACATTTACTTCTATGCTACTTTTTGTGTTTGCGGGGAGGGGGGGGGGGGGGTTTGTGATAGACTTACGCCCACGTGGTGCATCCTGGGCAATGTATACTCATACGGCAAAGAAGTCCATAAACTGGGAGTTGACTTCTGACCTTAATCTGCCATGACCCCACTGTATGTCATATTCAACCCCTTCCCAGTACTCATCTAGCCTTTTCTCAGCCTTTGTGACGTCTGCCTTTTTTACATCTGTGGATCATTATTCTATCCCCCTCTCCACTTTTTGTCACGTTGATGTTCCTCCTCCTCTCTGTGAAGCCTGAAGTCAACTAAAGGGCTAATGATAACTATCATAAAGCCTGCCATTTGAAATAAATAAATAAATTTTTGTTTGTCGTAATAATTTTGCATAAGAAAGCACTTTTTACACATGTTACGAGGATCTGATTGATGCTTCTCATTATTTCTACTACCATCATGTATTTGGGAAAGTGTTTCAGAAACAGAGCTCTTAATTGCCTCCTCAATCACTTTCATCTGTAGGATAGGCAATGATTTAATTTCCCACTCATTTATTAGTCAATTAGTCTTGATTGATTGATTGATTTGGAGTTGAATAGAATAAAAACCCATCATTTCACCAGCTTTTACCTCGATTCCAGCTTCCTCAATAATGCACATTCGATTATTCTTAGCAGAATAATTTGTTGGTGTTCACGATTGTTCCAAATATTCTTAGCTGTGGATGTTGTCACGGGTGGCCCCCTTCACCAGTGTTGAGGTAGTTCAAAAGAACTCCACTTATTCGAGCCACATTCATGAGGTTCGTGCTGTTTTTCTAAACTCTCTAAAGGCATTGTGACCATTGTATGCGAATTCGTGTTAAAGAACTCCATTTCTGTCGTATGACATACTATTTTCGTTCCGTACTTTGGCGCAATGGGTACTTTTGTCAACCAGTAGACTTTTTGCTTATTCAACACACCGATATAACAATGACATGTTGTATAATGCGCTAAGCTTGTCTCAATTAATTAAATATTGTATGCATCGTACTATATTATAATCATCGTATATAGATATATGTGTGCGTATATGTGTATATTTCTTCCTGTTT